CCCTAAGAGCCCTTTTTCTCCAGTGAGCCAACCCCCAGTGACCTGGGACCTGGCGGGCCCAGAACGACCCAACAACAAACACGCCTTCGCAAAGGGAAGCGCAAGAGCGTGTCTCGAACCTTCCCCCGCCGGAGCGTTTCTTCGGTCCGCACATGCTCACCCACACTCGCTTCTCTTCTTCTTCACCTCATACTCACCCCTCCCTCCAGAGTCTCCACGGAGGCCCTCACACCCCACTGGGGCGCCTCGCACCCCTCGGCAGCACCGAGGCCCTGCGCCGGCAGGGGCGTGGTGGGCACCGCCAGCCCGGCCCGCAGCGCCCCTTGGCTTCCCACCGATCCTCCGGTGTTAATCAAACCCAGTCCAGAATGAAACTACAGCTTGCTTCTTGTTCTGGTATGAAATGTGCAAAGCACAGACCATATCATTAACATAAAACTTCCAGAAATAAGGCCACTTTCCAGACAGACTGTATTAATTGCACCAAGCTTCCACAGCCAGGGTGGTCTAATCCACAGCGTCCCATTGGACGGCTCCGGTTATAAAAACCAACACAAAATGAACACTGGGATATAATTGAAGGAGGAGAAAACGATAGATTCTACAGTTAAACCCTACTATTTACTTACAGGTATTCTTTTATCTTTATTGTCCCTTTAACCCAAGCCAAGAAACCCCAGACTAGTTAAATAACACAGCAAGCACACTTTCAGTAGAAAAGTAAATTGAATTTAACTTTACAGGATAGCCCTGTGATTTCAGCAGATACTAATGACGGCAACTGACTCCTCCTATTAAATCCAAACACTTCCACTTCCCCAAGCTCCAGTCCTGTGTAGCCTCGCGTGAGACCTTGAACTTCACCAAGCTCGCGTATGAATCAATGCAGCTGATGACTATTTGCGGCTTTTAAACGCGCAGGGACGTCTCTCGATGCCCCTTCTCCCTCCCGATGCCGGTACAGGAGCTGAGCTGACTGAGAGGTTCCACGCCTTTCAGGAGGGAAGCTCGGCATCCGGCTTGAAGCAGGCCTCCCCGTGGCACAGGACAAGGACCGCGTGAAGCTGTGAGGGCCATTCTACTCATGCACGGGTCACGATGGCTACCGGGCTCCGCAGGGGGCGTTGTTCTCAGCGCCCGGCGTGGGACCTCGTTCGGTCCTCAACACAATCCTTCGAAGCATAAACTGGCGTGACCCCCAGGTTACAGGAGGGCCGAAGACAGGAGACTTTTCTGGAGCTCACCCACGCCCTGAAGCCCTGGGCCACCTCCGCCCGCCTGGAGAGGTGGCTCCCTCCATCCTCTCCAGGCGGGGAAACTGAGGAAGAGGGAGGAGAAGGACTTGTCCAAGGCCACACAGTTCTACAGGACAGAGCAGCCTGCACCTCAGAGGCTGATAAAACGTCGATGTCTGCCGCTGACAGACATCGCGGTTTCTGTAATTTGCTGAGCGGGGAAGGGTTCAGAACAAAGCGCAGTGGTTTCGAACTCTTCTCTGGACACCCCACCCCTGACCCGGGGACCCAAGCCAAGCCCCGCGCCCAGCCATCCACAGGGACTCAGCCATCGACGCAGACCAATATGATTCATTTCAGAGATAAATACAAGGAGCCTCATTTTGAAGTGTGACATATATATATCACAGATACACTCGTATATGTATGTGTCTGTATATGTGTGTATGTTTTATAGAAAGGGAAACTGAGGCCTGGGGGGTGACTTGTTCAAGGTCACCCGCCAGAGAGAGTCAGGACCAGGACCATAGCCCAATCCCTGGACCCCACAGGCGGCCTGGGGAAGTCACTCGTGGAATTTCTCAGGGAGGAACGTCCTTGCCCGGCCTCAGCTGCCCATCACGTCAGCAGAGCCAAAAAGCAATGAAAGCAATGGGTGAGCGGGGCTCCGAGAAGTCCCCTCTCCCACGTGACCGCCGCCGGAGGTCTGCACTGGGGTCCTGGGAAGCGCGGCCGTTTGGGGTGCTGCCGCCCAAGAGGCACACAGCACACATACCTGCGTGGTTTCCTCCCCCATGAAATCGCACTCTTGTGTAAACAACCGCGAACGCATTCCCGGGCATGCAGTTAACCTGAGCCAAATGCCGTGACACGGGGTTTTCCGTATTGCTTTGGAGAGATAGGTCCAGTGCGTCCTGATCCGGAAAGGAACAAGACAGAGTGAGGGCGGCGGCCCCTCCCCACCTGCACACAGGCCTGCTGCCTCCTCATGGGCTCCCAGGGATGGAACGGCTCCACCCCAGCAACTAATTAAACAGGCGCTAAAAACACTTAAGCAGACAGCCCCGTGCCAGGGACAGAAGCCACCAGGGGACAGAAACCACTGGAATAGGACGTTTTCTGGTATTGAAACTGATCAGAAGACACGGTGGTACGTCCTGACGAGGCTGATTCATGGGGACCCCACGATGAAGGGGAACAGTACTGGGGATCAGTGTGGCGCGCCGGAGGCTGAGCACTGGCCCCCGGAGGGTTGGGACGAGAGGTTCCCGCGGCCCCAGCCACAGACGCTGCACGGCCACCAATGTGGGGGCTGCTCCCAGGCTCAGAACCCTTGCAGCGTCAAGTTATGAAACCCAAAAAGGCCTCCATGCCAGAGGAGCCAACGCCAAAGATGAAACAGGTGCTGGGTGGGCCGCCCAGGACCAAATCCCACCTCTGCTCCTCCAGCCCCTTCGAAGCGTCCTCCTTACAGGTGCGTGGGTTCCCCTTCCTGCCCCTCCCTCCCCCACCAGCCTGCACGCCGCAGGAGGGCAGGGGCCCGTGTGCCTGGCTCTGCCTCGGTTGCACAATGTCTACAAGCTGGGTGCCCAGGAAGTGGCTTTTCATGGTCGAATAGATGAGTGAGTGAATGAATGAATGAGTGAGCAAATGAGTGAGTGAGCAAATGAGTGAATGAATGAATGAGTGAGCAAATGAGTGAGTGGATGAATGAGCGAATGAGGGAGTGAATGAATGAGCGAATGAGGGAGCGAATGAGTGAATAAATGAATGAGTGAATGAGTGAATGAGCGAATGAGTGAGCGAATGAGGGAGTGCATGAATGAGGGAGCGAATGAGGGAGTGCATGAATGAGAGTTCCGAGACCTGAATGTCTCCGAGCCTCATTCTCTCACCTGTGAAGTGGGGAATGAACTGCGTCCTCAGACGGCTGTGAGGATGAAATTCAAGAACACACACAACATGCCTAGCGCAAGGCGGCACACAGTAAGCCCTCCACACACAGCCCGTCTAAGGAAGCGGGCGGCACTGTGGCTGACGGCGGGTGCGTGAGGAACGTCCCCTGCATGTAGGCGGGGGCGCATGGCTCAGTGGGAGGGGTGGCCCTGTCAGGAGGGATCCCGATGATACATTCCACGTCCCCAACCTTGGCCCAGCCACTCACTCTGCCTGCGCCTTGACGTCCCCATCTGCAAAATGGGGGCGGGACAGCCCCTGCACAGCACAGCGGCTTCCGGGCAGAGCCAGCGCCAGCCCAGGGTTAAGCCACACCCCGAGCGCCAGCGGGATCGCATTTCTGTACCGCAGAACTGGACCGAGTCCAGTCACAAACACTTGGGCTGACCTTTGATGGCCCGCCCCCCACCACCTCGTCCCTAAGTGGGGCTGTCCCACCCATGACAGAAGTCACAGGAGCAGGACAGCCGCCCGCACAGGGCAGCACCTGGCACTCTGCAAGCACGGGTCACGGCACAGGCCCGCGGAGCCGGGACAGCAGCCCCGGGCCCCCTGGACACCAGGCCAGCCCCGCTTCTGTGCAACCGCACCACCACGCCCCCGCCCAGATGATTCCACCTTTGCCCCGTGCACTCAAAGCGTGAGCCCGGCACCTCGGACGCCCCCTCTGTCACGGGAGGGTGCCGACGGCTGCGGGCCACCCCGCAGCAGCCAGGCCGCGAGCTCTTGGCCCCGGAGCTGGGGATGCCCGCGGCCCTTCGCCGGGCCGTGGCTCCCGAGGGACCCTCCCCGGGAGGGCATCGACTGCAAGCAAGCTCTGCCCCATGAAAAGCATTTTCCTTTCCCCACCCAAGTCAAGAGAAATCCTACAGGTGCCCTCCACTCTGCGCCCACCCTCTCCTGTCCCGGCCCCTACCTAGCACCCAGGCCACAGGCGCGCCACCGCCCGGGGTGTGTCAGCCTCCAGGCCCGTGGGTCCCCAGTGGGCCTCACACCAGCCTGGGCAGCCAAGAACCGGGACACAAGAGGCCAGGAAGGGGGGCCCCCCGCCCACAAATGCCATGGGCCGCCGGCCACCGCAGGGGTTTGGGTTCTGTTTGGGGACCGAGTAGGGTGAAGACGTAATTAATGATGCACAGGTTGAGTCACCTCACTGGCCGGGGGGTGCCCATCTGTAAAATGGGCAGCCATGCCAACTGGCAGCCTGGCGCACAGTAGGTGCTCAGCGCCTAGGGAGAGACACAGCCCTGCCCCAAGCTCCCCACACACCCCACGAGGCCTCACGCCCCCCTGAAAGGCTCCTTTAGAGTGACTCTGTTTCTTCAGAGTTAATGGGCAACACATTGTCACAAAGAAGAACCTCGGCGTTTTGGACGGCTCGGCAATGTACACAGACAACCACAGAATCTTCTGGCCCAGTTTGGGGGGCGGGGGGGCAGGGCCGGGGGCGGGGGAGGGGTGGCAGAAGAAAACCTCAGATGTTAAGCGTTATCCAATTAAGCTTTAGCTAAACAGCCCAAAGAGATGGAATTTGGAGGTTGGGGGGTTCCTTCTGGGAGACTCTCAGAAAGGGCGGAGGCGTGGGGGGACCTCCCGACCCGTGGGGACCGGGGCGCCGGGGCGCAGTTCTGTTGGCATCCTTCACCACTTCCCCTGGCGCCCCCCCCCAAGAAATGCCTTTTGGGGCGGGGACTGCATGGCCCCCTGAGTCCCCACCTTGCCCGGCCCACCTGGGAGAGGCAGCGGCCGGCTCTGCCGGGGCGCACCCCACCCCCCCGGGCGCCCGCCCCCCACCGCGGCGTCTGTTACCTGACAACTGACACTGACATCCAAAAGGAGCCTCCGTGTGCCCCTCACCCTGAGTCCCGTCACCCGAGACCGGGCGCGCGCTGCAGCAGGGCAGGGGGAAGCAGGGCGGCAGAGCGCCCAGGGCGCGCAGAGGTGAGGTGATCACGGATGCGTGAGGGTGGGAGGAGGAGGCAGCTATGGGGGCCATCGCTGGCAGCTGGGCAGGCCTGCACGGCCCTGGAGAAAAAACAATAGAAAAGACTGGTCAGTCGGGCCCTGGACGGTACAGGGGGCTCAGGGTGTGGAACAGGGGCCCGGGGCAGAGGGCGGCAGGGTGCCAGGCCCTGCGGGGAAGACCTCCGGGGCACAGGCTGGGGCCTGAGGGGGGCCACGTCCACAGCTGCCAGGCTGGGCTGTCTCGGGGCCAGACTCCCGTCCCTGGGGGCCCAACGCAGGGAGCTGTCAGGGGCCCACTCCCAGGCAGGGGCCCCCTGTGGGGGCTGCTGCAGGGGCACGGAGCAGGCTCCACTTGGGCATCTGTTCTCAAAAATCTGGGCCACCCCCCTCTGGGAAACTCCTGGCCACCGCTGTTGGCTCAGTCGGGATGGGCTCTTTGCACAGGCCTGGGACACCTCCAGCCCACTCTGGGGCGCCGGGCCCTGGTTAACCTCCAGCCTGGCCAGCGGCCAGCTGGTGCCTCTCTCCTGCCCACGGTCCTCCTTGGCAGCCCAGGCCCCAAGCCTTCCAGAAGGCTTTGGACACCCCCCAAGAAACCCCTGGCACTGCTCAGGGACCCTCCTGACGCCGCCCCCGTCTGACGGCCACGACGCAGGGCCAGAGCCTGCCTCGCCTCGGCTCCCCGGCCCAGCCTGCATTTGATTTGACCGTTTATCTTAAATGGCTACGAGACCACCAGGGCAAAGCATTTGTGTGAAGCCCTTGCCAAAACCACAAGTGAAGAAGCCCAAATTCCCTGGGTAAATAATTGAGCAGGGAAGCATCAGAGAGACAAAAAGAAAACATCAACAAGACGACAGGCAGCTGGGCCCTGGGCCGGCTCTGCCAGGGCGGCCACCCGACGCTGCTCAGCGCCCCACGCAGGCCCGCAGGGGGTGGGGAACCTGCCCGATCCACGGCCCCACATGGGGTCCCCCATCCAGAAGAGCCACTCTGAACCCACGACGAGCCAGGAGTCACAGGGTTCACCAGGAGCGAGTCTCCCACTGTGCCGTGGGGCGGGGCTTCAGACACCCACTGCCCAGACCGGGAAAGCGACCATGTGGCTGCAGAGAGCTGCATACGCCAGCGCACCGGCTACCGGTCCCGCCAAGCCCTGGCTGCCTGGCTTCAGAACCGGGGTTTTTTCTCTGTTACCCCGAGCTGGGGGCATCAGGGCATTTGAGAAGACCTATAAATGTCCTCCCAGGGGGCCAAAGCTGGCACCGCCCTCCTGGGCCCCTCTGGGCCAAGAAGACCTCCTACCAGGCTAAGCCTGGGGCCCGAGATGTTTCTGAGCTTAAGGCCCAGGAAGGATGTGGCCGAGGACCCCATAAGCAGTCCCAGCCACAGAAGCTGAGCAGAAGGCAACACCCCAGACGGAAGGCAGGCCCCTGAGGAAGGTCAGCAGCACTTGAGGCCAGCATCACCTGGCTCCTCCCGGAAGTTTGCCCTGGCCAGTCCCTACCTGAAACCCTGGACACTGCACGGATGACCCTGCGCATTACGGGGGCCTTGCTTACAGACCACGGAAGGCTCTGGATCATCCGTAACTGTGACAGCGGCTTTGTGCTCAATGCCAATCACAGCCACCCAGCTCAGGGGGGCACATCGTCCCCACTCCACAGCAGGGCGACTGAGGCTCGGGCAGGTTCAGAACTCAAACCCAGCTGTGTCTCCAAAGCCTGGATGTGCCTTGCTCCCCACCTGAGGCTGTCGGGGGGCACCTGTGGGTCTGAGGACTCGGTCAGACCATCCAAGGTCGCAAGAGAGCAAATCCGGGCACAGTCCCAGGTTCTGGGTGAGGCCACCACACAGCCACCAGCACGTACCAGGGCTGAGAAAGCCAACAGGTGCCCCCCGCCCTCGCACCGGGCTTGGTGACGTTGTCCAAGCCGGAACCCGCATCTCCATGGTTGGAAGGAAGGAGCACAGGGCAGGTCCAGCAGCACCTTCTCCTTCTGGAAAGGTTGGGCTTAGGCCAGAGTCAGTTCCCAACTCAGGGAGGGGTGGAGGGCTGGGCTGCCCCTGGAGGGGCTTCCAGGCCTCCTTAGGAATTCTCACCTTGCTGAAGTCCACCTGCTCTGGGCCGCTGAGTGGAGGCAGGGGAAGGGCGCACCAGGGGAGGGGCTTCCAATCCTAAACTGCCAGCAGAGGACTCTCGGGGAGGCTCTGGGCTGCAGCGGCTTCAGCCTGCCCAAGGGTGGGCCTCCAGGAACCCTCTTCTGAAGCCACTGTCAAGGCCTGAGGTGCCGATTGAAAGAAGCCACCTGTTTATTGTACGACTGGGTGTGTAGGAAGAGTCCAGAATGGGCCAATCCACAGAGAGAGACGGACAGAGAGGAGGGGCGGGGGCGGGCAGCGAGGGGGCTCCTGGGCAGGGGTTTCTTCTGCATGAAAAGCTGCCGGCCCTAGAGAGTGGTGATGGCTGCCCAGCACTGTGACTACGCTCAAAACCACTGACTGGACACCTTAAAGTGGTTAAAGTGGGATTCTATGATAGGTGAATCTAGATGTTTTTTAAAGGTCAAGGTGAGGACTGCCCCTGGTCTCAGTGTCTGTCCCAGGCCCCCTCCCAGGTTCCCCCCCACACCCCGTTCCTCCTCAGGGGAGGGGCGTCAGCCTTGCGAAGGGCACCCAGGGACTCCAGAACCCTAGCCAGCGCGCCTGAGGCCCCCGAGGAGAGACTGGCCGGCCCAGAGGAAGCTGGGAGCTCCGAGCGCAGCCCCGGAGCCGGAGGCCTGGGCCTGAACCTCTCCTCTGCCGCTTCCTGGCCCTGTGACCCGGGTAGACCACATTCTCGGAGCCTTGTCTTTGAAGGACGGTAAGGACATGCCCAGCCAGAGCCACGCTTCTAGTAAACACTCAATACGTGATCACCATCATTTGTTTTTTCTCCATTCTGGAACATTCCCTACCCGCCACACAGAAAGGCACCCCGTGAAGCCCTGCAGGGCACTCCTGCAAAACGCACTTTCTTTGGAGGTCGCGGTGGGCTCCCCCCTGAAACTGGAACAGCCCCACGTGCAGGGCGGTATGAGAGGCCCAGGGACCGCAAGACGCCATTCCAGCTTTACCGGGATCCAGGTGGCTTAAGAATAAACCCCTGGCTGGCTAGATTCCTTATCGTGGAAGTTCACTTTCATTACGAAAAAAGAAATAAATGATGGATACATCTGTCACCTCCTTTAGGCCCAGCAGCCTTCCTTGGAGGGGGTAAGAGGACCCCCCCTCTCACAAAGAAGAACACTGAGGCTGGGTGCCCAGCATGAAGCGGCCAGCAGGGTCAGAATCTCCCCAGGCATCCTGTACAGAGAGGTACAAAAAAGTCCATGCATAAGACACCCCCCCCCCCCCCCCGAACGCTTCTTAAGCTCCAAATGAGGGTGGAAGGTCATTGTCACCACACCCATTCGGAGGGGTCGGTAACTGTCCCCCTTGCAGAGACAGGGCCCCGCAGGTGGCCCGGCTCCATGCCTCACACATGCGCACTTCCCCAGTGAACACGCCCACACCCCCCGGCGGGCAGACACAAAAACTCGCCCGGCAAAGCCCCAGACTGCGTTTCAGAGGGATGAGATTCTTTCCCAACGCCGACTCCTCGGGCGTCCCCTCCCACGTGGGAGGGTTACAATCGCCCAGCCGGGAAAGCAGCCCTGGAATACTCCGGGCAGATGTATATTTTTTTCTCCCTACCGGTGCCTTTCAATGGATACATTTTTTTAAAGCCAAGAACTCCTACTGATAGTGCAAAAATGAGTCATAGATCCAGGAGGGCGACAGACAGACAGGGAGCCAGCGCCTGCCAGTGAGGGCCACTGGCAAGAAAACCTGACAATCCCCGCGCCCCTCCCCCCATGCCAAGACATTAATTCTCACAAGTCGGAGAAAATTACTATGCATGAATGCAAAAAGCATGATCAGGAGTAATTAACATGGCTTCATATGCAAATTTTATTAATGCAGAAGTACAAAGTCATTATGCAAATGAAACTTACGTCAACTCTCTTGACAAATATTCATCGCTGAGGCTCAAGTTTCTCCCTCTTTATTTATTTATTTAATTTTCCCTCCCCCCCCCACCCCGCCTTTTTTCCCCCTGCATCTTTATTTTTTTTAGGGGCGCAGGTTGTGCTGGTGGCCGCTGTGGCAGCAGCAACCCACAAGGACTGTTTGACAAGTTTGCAAAGTTGTTTTTCAACCAGAGAAATTTATTCTTGCATTGTTGTTTTTTTTTTTTTTTTTTTTTTTGGTTGTTGGCAGGTACAAGACAGCTCATAGGAGAAGGGGAAAAATAAAAAAATAAAAAGCTCTGGGCAGCAGCAGCCAATCAAAACGCCAGGGCCTGTAATGAGGGCGATTGATGGCTGTTTGGCTTTTACTGCAGGGTAATGAGGAGGGGGAAAAATATGAATATTCATGAGACTGTGCTCCTGCCTTTGATGATTAAAGAAATTTTTAATATTCAAATAAGCGCTTGCCAAGTGATTAACAAAGAACATGCACGCAGAAATATGGAAATGGGCACCGGGAAAGATTTGAGAGCCGAACAGACTGCAGGAGAGGCAGCCCCAAATTTCATAAACAAGATAGGCAGATAACCCAATTCGCACGTGGGCAAATAAAAACATTTCTTTCGGATCGCTTAAATATTTTGCCAGCTACTTGGTCTTAAGAATGATAAAAATGCGCTGTGTTCAGGGGCTGGGGGCGGAGAGAGAGGGAGAGTGAGAAATCACAGGAAGTCAAAGGCATGGCTCACATTTAAGGATCATTATCCTGATTCCAGCCCACCTCCCCCCACCTAACGGGAAATCGGGGCTCTTTTTCCGGTTTGCTAGAGAGAGGAGACGGAAGGAAGCCAGCTCGGGCTTAAAAACCCAAGGCCGGCCTGTTTGAGGTGGACACATGCACACGCATGGTCATTTGTTGCTTCTGGGGCGGGGGCGGGGGGGGGCGGGCAGCAAGAAGAGGACGGTGACTCCTAGAGGGAGAGGGGTGTGATTTGGGGGGACCCCAGT